TTTTATCTTCTATAAGTAGTGAATGATTATTTTCTTTTCCGGATATTTATACAGTTCCCTGAATATGTCTGGAGTTATATGTTTTTTTTTTCTTTTTCTTTTACATCGATATACATGGTTATCTATACATTCATTTACATTTTTTCTAATCCTGCATCGAGCATGTTTATTTTTCATCCACATTTCATGCTATCTATGTTACATTAGAACTTGTTGCTCTTATATTCACCATTATTGCTGTTTCGATTTGGTAACTTCTTTTTTATTGAAATTTTCAAATATTTTATTTGCTTTTTATATTAAAAACTTCGTGGAAAAAAAATGATATTGAAAAATTATGACACGGTTCAAACCATTTCTCATTCATCATTATTAATAAGATTAACTACTTATGACAATGTAAAAATTAATTATCAAAATGCTATAGTTATGTTCTTTAGATTAATTTAGGATTAGTAGATATTTGTGCATATCTTCATCAACCAAATCATCTTTTATTTGAAGTTAGTCGTTGTAAACAAACAATAGCTCGACCAGCAACTAGTAACATCGACTTGTTCCTATTATTAAGATGAAAAAAGTTTTATTTAAGTCTTGCTATAGTCGGTGTAATATTTCTTATGATTGAAACTGTTTGCACTGGTAAAATCATATCTTTCTTTCATACTCCTTTATTAAATAGATTGTTTATATAGGTTTTGCTGATGAAGAAAATCGTGAAGATCAGGAGAGTCTTTGTTCAATAGTTTTTATTGCATTCGATGGTTTACTTCTTTTTACATCTGATTGAACACATTTAATAAGTTCTAGATTAGAACTTCCAACAGCATATGTTTGATATTGATATTCTACGTGTTTAATTGTTATATCAGCTGTTATTAATTTACTTTTAATGAGCCTTGTTCTTTGGCGAATCGTAAGTATTAATATTTGTGCGATGAGAAATTGAGTTTTGTCTCTAAACAGTATCTTCATAGGGTTTACTTCAATCCACAATTAAAAGTAAATTCAGCTAAAGAATGTAGACCGAAAAAATCCAATCGTTGTTTATGACTGAATGATTTTATTTCTTGATTATGTGTATATTGTTATTTATTAATTATTATGTATTTTATTTTTTGTTTTTATTCGATTTTCTTTTGATTTTGTGAACAGACTCAACTTATTGTTCTTGCAATTCTCCAATTTTTCACTAGCGATCGCATTCACTTGACTTCGTCAAGAAGATTTCCTATTGTATTCTAGATAATTTCCAATTTCCAATCAAAATGACAACAGCTGACGACTACCATTTTGAGGTATAAAACTTGATGAACTCTTAATAAATTTCTTTCATTCTTTTCAACAAAAGTTAAAGCAACTCTTGATGGAATGAAAACGTCTGGTAAAATAACAACAGGATCTTGAAGAACAACGACCAGATCTTAAGGAGCAAATTGATAAAGATCGTTGTCGTCTTGAAATCGTTTATTTGCAATGTTTAATTCAAGCAAATAGAGCAAAATATGATTTAATAGAATTCAAGGCAAAAAATTTTGGAAAACCTGCAAGCTTTTGATTTCTCTTAATTTAAAAAGCGATAATTGAAATATTAAATATTTAGTGTTCCATCAAAAAAAAATAAACATCAAAAATGCTCGACGACAATTTTTTTTTGATTTAAATCATCAGTTTTTTATGATATGAATCATCAATTTTTTTTATAACCACAAGAAGAACAAATAAAAGTCGTCATTTAACAAGAATGAAAAATCTATCACTGTTTTCCTTTTTTTTTCTCTCATCGACAACGTTATTTTATTGCCATTGACGTATGAATATATTGAAGGTCGTGCTCATCTGCTACACCTATTTATCAAACAAAGCTCGATACTTTTGCTTTTTGACGATTTATGATTCTTAATATATTTATTCGACGTTTATCAATTTATATAAGAATCATCAGTCTAAAGATATAGCCTGTTAGTTAACGATATTTTTATTTACATAATTGTTCTTGATTATTTCTGCAATGGTTTATATTCCTTGGAGTGAAAGTTTTTTAGCTCGATGTGCTGCAAGTAAGTTGTCTTTAAAATAAAGAACTTCTAATTGCTATTCTCTTAATTTAATTTCATTAGTAGTTATGTGTATCTTTTCATTTTGTTATCCATCTCTTTGTCAAGTATTAGTAATACTGATGAGAGAGAGTCGTCATTCATCAGCTAGAATATTAAACAAATACCAGAAAATCGATCCTGTTTGTGATCATATCCATACAGAACCAACTTGGTCTATATGTCAATAGCTGTTTTATGTAAGCAAATATAGAGATCATAGTCTATCAAAACTATTCACTATCTTGAGCAATTGAAAGAGCATCACTTAAATGTTAACTATTTGATATTTGAGCAATGTGTTAGTTTTACTTATATTGATGAAAAAGTGTTGATGAATTTTGCGGGTGTGTCTTTTTTCGTCCTTGCTCTTCCGAACATCCGGTCGAATAACCGGATGTTCGAAATCGGATATACAACATAAAATCGTTTTTCCGGATGTTCGCAATGAAAACCGTCCAGATGTTCGGAACGAAAAAATACAGGATGCTCGAAACATAAAATGACGGATGTTCGGAACAAAAAGTGACCGGTGTTCGGAACGAAAAAATACTGGATGTTCGGAACATAAAATGACGGATGTTCTGAGTGAATTTTGGTGTATGTTTTTTAACACAGAAAACAATTTATTCATATAGTATATTTTAAGTCGCTGAGTGTAGCGACCTCTTCTCGTATGTACATTCAGTTAGAGTTTTTTAAAATAGTGTAGAGTTCAGTTTGTTAATAATTCTCATAAATCTTCAGCCAGCAGTTCATCGAGTGAAAGAAAACGAAAAGAAGATGAAACAGATGATGACAATATGAAACAAATTCCGAAAAAGAAAAAAATAAGACATGCTGCAAAAAAATATTAAACATTACATTTTTTTCTGTTATAAAAGTTACTTATTCTCTCACTTGTATAAATTTTTGTTGTCTTTGTCTTTTGTTAAAGACTATACTGTGAAATAAAAGAAAATAAACTGTTATAAAAAAAACAATTCTTTTCTCTTACGAACAACCGGAGTATTTTCTTACGAACATCAGTCATTCACTCTTACGCACATCCGTAGTTTTGATTCCAAATATTCAGCATTCTACATTCCGAACATCGGTCATTTTTTATTCCGAACAGCCGTCATTTTATGTTACGAACATCCTGTATTTTCTGTTACGAACACCTGGACGACTTTCATTCCGAACATCCGGCCTTTTTCATTCCGATCTTCCGGACTTTTCATTCCGAACATCCGGACTGTTTCGAAGAAACTGGAGTTCGGATCGAACTACTCTGACCGATGTCCGTAAAAAAAAACAAGGACGAAAAGTGGTTACCCCGAATTTTGCTTCCATCATAAGCCCGCAAAAGTCGAAAGTGATCACGAGTCGAATTATCTATAGTAGGTATTTTGATATATCAATAATTAATGTCATTTCCTATCTTATTGATAAAATCCAATGTTTACCTTAACAATACAAAAAAGATAGGAACAAATGAGAGATATATTACCCATCAATAATGATACTTTGGTCTATGGAAGAAAATCGCATTTAGATTAATTGAATCGTTTGATTGAGATCTGTGATAGAAGGAAAGATCGTTTCAAAAAATAATATTGAATTTGTAGAGAGTAACGGAAGAAATCATTAAACTTGATGAACACTTGAGAAATTGCTTTTAAGTTCTAATCGAATTAAGAATAAAATCGAATTCCGTACGACAGACAAGTGATGATAGTCATAATTGCTAGATCTCAACTGTGTCAAGAAATGGCGATTGCATTCCTCTAGATTCTTTTTGGCAACAGACATGAGTAGATTTTGGATTTGTTTAGAACTCGTAAAAATAGAAGAAAAACTAACCAATGTGCAAATCGAATATTTATATCAAAGTAAGTTTATTTATTCTATGTTTATGCTTCCCGAAATTGATTTGTCTTATTTAGATTATAAAATGAACAAGAATCCCGAAGATACAGAACTCGAAGAACTCGCCAAACAATGGAATAGTAACGATCTCCATCTTTTTTTCGATTTGGATGTTAGTACAGGTTTTTTTTAATGTTGAGTCAGTATTCATATTTCTTGTTCATTTCTAGGAATGGTTTTTTTGTCGGCGAATAGCTGATGACGAAGCTGAACAACGACGACAAGAGATACGAATAGCTGCAGCTTAGTTACAATCTAAATCTTTATATTTTGCTATGTTGGTTTTGTTCATTTGTTATATACAAAATCGTTTTTTTGTGTTTCATTTCTGTATCATTTCGAAAGAAATAGACCATTGTTTATCTTTAATTAACTGTTGCATTGTTTCTCTCGCATAATGAAAACAGTTAAAATTGATTGTTCTTAATTTGATTATGTCAAAGTGAGATTAATCCAGTAGAAAAGTATGATTAATTGATATAAAACATAGTTTATTCCTAGAAAATGTTCTAACCAATAGGATCCTTCTATAGAATATGCCTATTTAGATATACTTGAAATAAGAGATGATAAATACCGATTTTTTTTTCTGGAAACAGTAAGAAGATGAGGAAGAGGAACGAAAATTGATCGTTTTAATTATAGGTTTGCAAAGTGTTCATGATCACATGTGACCATAGCCAGATCTCTTGTAGTTCTGAATACGGCAACAAGAAAAATCATGCAATAATTTAAAAGTTTTTGTGAAAATTTTAGTTTTGACAACATTACTATTTAGAAAATTTTTTCAAAAGCTTTGCTAGTCTGGTCGTAGACATGGGCAAGATTGTCTCAGTCCCGCTCTCGATTCAGATCTGACTGGAACTGGGATCAGGTTCGATTATTTTGGTCAGAACCAGAACCGAGACAGAATTTTTTTCTGACCGAAACCAGGATCAAAACGACTAGTCTCGTTCATACCTAATTCTGAATGCTCACTTGTCTTGCTTTTTTTTTCGAATTGTTTTTGTCGTTTTCAAATGGATTATAGAAAGAGTGTGGGTGTGGGTGCTATTGTCTTTCTTCACCAACACTTATATGCGTATCCACACCCATACCCCACGCTAACGTCAATTCAAAATTATGATATTATTATTACGTGATAATTCAGTCATAGTTTCCTATCAATCAAAAATACAGTAACTTGTGCTGTACCTACATAAAATTGGATTCGATTGAGGTAAGGATTACAGAGTTGAACAAGTTGCTATTGCTGTTCGATTCATTTTGATTTATTCATTTTAAATACATATGCCACAGATAAAATTGAATTTAAGAGAAAAATAATTATTTCTATTAAGAGAATATAACGCGTACTGGTCACTTCTAAATAGACACAGTATTCATCTTCACTAATTCATATTCGAATACATGTACGAACGACTTCTTCTGTATCAACATCAGAAAATGATCTTCGAAAGTATTTTTATGAGCACGCAAATTAAAATATAAAATTTTTGAGCATAAAATTCCAAGAAAAGACTTAACAACATAATATATTCATACTTTAAATTTCATCTATGAGCTAAGTCAAATTCCAAGACAAATTAACATAACTCCTCACTTGCAACTATCGTCTTACATTAATATTGCGTCGAACATACGATTGTTCGCAATACTTTATTAAAAACTTCGAGAATTATTTTTGATAAAAAGAAAGCACAACTGTAAAAAGAAATATTTTGTTTAATGTGTCGTGGAAACCAATCAAAACAAAATATCAACGAAATAAGAATGAAACACATGTATAGAGTTTAGCACGTTACTTCTTTTGAATTTTTATCTTTTTTTGTTTTATATTAGAACATTTTGAATTGAGTCAATGAAATTAATCGATTCTCTTTCTTTCAACTGATCAATTTTACTATCCATCTTCATACTCATCAAGTTTTGTGTGTACTTCGGATATAACAAAACTATAGCAGTGAAACTAAATAAATAAAATGTAGAGCAAAATTTGATTTCAGCATAAAACATATTTCACTTCAACTATTATTCGATCAGTAATTCTCACATTCGTTATGACAATTTCAACTTGATGTTCTATGTCTTTTCATGTAATATCACTATTAAAAAGAAAAAATAAAACAATATGTATATTGAAATCTTTTGAAAATTCATTCGAATTTATTGTTTACTTTGACAATAAAGAATATTTAAGAAACTAGCATCATCATAAAAAAGGATGTTAAACTCAGAACAACTAACTACTACATAAATAGAAAAAAAAAAGACAAGATGCTATCTATCTAATCAATTTATCATGTGAATGGGTGAAGTTGAAGAAAATAATCAGTAGTAACGAAGAAAGGTCGTTCACATTTTAATTGATGTTGACTTGCTTAGTTATTACTTGATTTTTAAGGGTGTGGGTAGGGTATGGGTAGGTGGGTGTGGGTACAGGTAATTCTGTTTCGTAGCAAACACCCACACCCACACCCTCAAGAAAGACTAGTTATTCGTAATCTCTTGATATTATTTAATGTCTCCTAAAAGGATATCAACAGGTGGACTCTTCGGTGAATGCCATAGTCCTAATAAAACAACATTTTCTTTAAATTCTCTAATAGGCAATGGAAGTTCAGCAATAGTTGCAATAACCTGAGAAAAACAATAGACAATACTTGAATTAAGAGAATATTGAATCGGTAATCTTACTGGCCACATGGAGCTACGACTGTTCTTGGTGGCTGGTTTCTCATCGGTAGAAAGTATAAGTGTTATAGGATTTTTTCTTGGTTTACTTTGATAAAAATCTCCTAAAAAAGAAATTATAAGTTAAACTTGTTCAAAAGAAAACAATTCACCATAAATTACATCAGAAGCGTGATGTGGATGATATCCTTTGATGAAATCTGTATTCATTTGAATAATTTGACTGATTTCCTTCTCCATCAAGAAAATAATCAGTTCAGAGTTAATATATAAATGAACATTAGCACACGAATCACAACAATCATTAAATTTTACCAGCTTCTTCAAGCAATTAGTACAATAAATAATTGTTTTATCATCAAATTTAATATTGAGTTGTTTCCATAATTGTTTTTCCGTTTGAGGTAAACTTTTATTCGAACTAATATTATCGATAAGTGTCAATAAATTATTTGTATTTGTTTTATTTAAATTTGATGATCGAATAAAATGTATTAAATCTAAACAAAACCGATCAATTTCACTTTCTTCATTGGTATTTTCAACTGATGAATCATAAGAATAATTATCACTGGCATTTGTATCTTCAGTATCTTCGGACAAATAAAAAGAATTATAAGCATCAATATCTGAGTGTGGTACATTATATTCTATAAAAAGTAAAAGTTGATAAAACTTAGTAAAAGAGTTGTCTTGTCTTACCAGAAATATTTTGTTCAATTTGATCAAGATAACCATTTGAATATGATTGATTATCATCACGACTAATAACAATATCATCACGATTAATAACAACATCATGATGACCAACAACATCATTTGAATGCACAAGTCGTGTCTTTTCTTGTTTTATTGTTAAATCTATAAAAATTAGACATATGAAGTTTTATTTTACTACAATAATATATAATTAAAATGAATTCAAATGGCTTTAAATCTTGTTTATAAAAAAAAAGGCATCGAAATGTTTTAGAAATTGTCTACATGAAGGTTTTTGATCGATCATAGGACCATTTGGAAATTTCATAGAGAACTGCATCTTTTCATTTGTAAATATTCTACTTAAGTCAAATTAAGGAAATTAGCAAAATATATGCTTTCAACGTAAGGTTAAGAACAAAGACCAAATAATATTTAGCTCATACATACCAAAAATCATTTAACCAATGGAATGTTTTGAATTTGATGAACCTGTTGAAGGACGACAACGTTCACGTAAAGAACTTCCGTATTTAATGCTTCTCAAACGACTCAATTCTTGTCCTAAAAAAATAATTAGGGATGCAGCTCAACGAAAAAAACACTGATACTATATCGAAGCTTCTGTTGATCAAGTGATAGGTGTGAATTACTTAGGTCATACCAAAAGTAGTGGCCACCCCATCTTAATTGCTTATAGTCTGATCAAAAAAAATTTCTTTTTTTATGAACAGATAGAGCATCTTTTGCTCTATCTTTTGATACTAAATGATCACTATTCAATTGATATAATTTATAAAAATTTCCAGAGAAACTTATTTTTGTGGAAGTCCAGCTGGTACCAGTAGTGCATATTATCATTCATACATGTTGTCTTTTCGTTTTTTTTCTTTTCATTTTTCTTTATTTTTCTCCTCTCTCTTCTAGAAAACACACGCTATATTTTTCTCTTTTCTTCTCTTATGTTCAGGTCACCTAAGTGCATTTTCTCTTTTCTCTTCTATATTATTCTCTCTCTTGATGGGCTCATCTCATCACTTTCCTTTGGTTTGACTTATGAACTTCTGGAATATTCTTCGATATCTGAGCTCAGGTATATAAACCTTCCATTTTAGACGAGTAGTTCAGTTTTGTGCATGTTAAGCGTGTAATCAATTTGATTTAATAAATGACTCGCAACAGGTTACTTAATAAGAGTTAAGCTTTAACACTATTCATTCGTTTTAAATGAATAAAGAAAACTTTCGATATTACATTAAAGTACGTACCGCACTTAATATTCCAGCAAGTGTTATTTATGATGAACTGTATTCTGTGCATGGTGATCAAGCTCCTTCTTATAGAACAGTTAGAAGATGGGCTCAATGGTTTCGCGAAGGCCGGGAAGAAATTGAAGATGAAGCACGACCTGGCAGTCCTATTACCGAAACAACATCTGGAAATATTGAACAGGTCCGCCTTCTTATTGATGATGATCCTCACATTACAATAGAAGAGGTGCAAGAGCAAGCTGGTTTAAGTCATGGCACTCTTCAGCGAATCATCACCGATCATTTAAACCTTAAGAAGGCTACCGCTCGTTATATACCCAAGGATCTAACTGACTCTCAACGGGCTGAACGAGTTCGAATATGCAAACCAAATTTGGCAAAATTTCAAGAAGGAACATAGCGTTTATGTGATATAATAATTGGTGACGAGTCATGGTTTTATCATACACAAATTGGTCGAAAGTCATCAAGTGCAGCGTGGGTGAGAAGAAGAGATCCTTCACCTACTGTAGTTCGACGCGATAAGTTTGCTCTGAGAACCCTATTTTCCATCTTTTCTAAGTCGGATGGCCCTGTTTTGATTCATCCTGTGGAACGAAGACAAACGATTGATCACCACTATTACATCAACAATTGTTTACGACCACTTGTCGCTGAAATCAAACGTCAAAGACCCTCATATGGCACCAGTCGTATTAAAATTCGCCACAATAATGGAAGAGCACATATTCATCAAGATGTGTCCAAATATCTTGAATCAGAACGTCTCACAATAATACCACATCCTCCTAATTCTTCAGATTTATCACCATGTGAGTTTTGGTTGTTCGACTTAATTAAAGAAAATCTAACTGATCAAAGTGATTCAGACTCATTATATGATACTTTGAGCGAGTTTATGTACTCTATAAATAAAGAAGAATATAAAAAAACCTTCGAAAAATGGATTCAAAGAATGCAATTGTGTATAGATAACCAAGGTGATTATTTTGAACATTTGATAAAATAAACAATTGTTCAACTGGTTTATGTATTTCTTTTCTGTTTCATCACCATTATTTTTTCGTACCGGGTAAAATATATGGACGACTAGTTATTAGAAGAGATAAGAAAAAGAAGATGGAAAAAAGAAGAATAGAAAAATAAAGAAAGACGAAAAGACAACATGTATGAATGATAATATGCACTACTGGTACCAGCTGGACTTCCACAAAAATAAGTTTCTCTGGAAATTTTTATAAATTATATCAATTGAATAGTGATCATTTAGTATCAAAAGATAGAGCAAAAGATGCTCTATCTGTTCATAAAAAAAGAAATTCTTTTTGACCAGACTATAAGCAATTAAGATGGGGTGGCCACTACTTTTGGTATGACCTAAGTAGAAAAAGCTTATGACATTTAGACAATTCTTTCTTCCAAAACTAGCCCAAATAATTTAATAAATTTCACTTAATAATCTAAATTTTCAAAAAAATGTATTTTTATTAGCTTTATCAGACTAATTAACTATTATATCTAATTACCACCTTAATTGAACAGATAAGCTTTTCTTAGATATTAATTTTACAGAATCTTGAAAAATAAAATGATTTTCTGGGAAGTGACACTTCGTCTCACCTGTTCATTACGAACTCCGGTTGAAGTAGTCCGTTACGATCTTCGGACTTAAGAAAAAAGACAGGGTGTTCGGAATGATAAAAGTCAATGAAATATGAGGAAAAACCATGATGCTCGTAACGACATGTGGTCGGAAGATCGTAACGAGCTCTGACGACTGTTTCTTAGTGGCTGAACAGCGAAAGTTTGACTGGAGATCGAAATGAAACAGTCCGGAAGTTCGTAATGACAAATGCATGAAGTTCGTAATGAAAACTACAGGATGTTCGGAAGGAAAATGGTAGGATGTTCGTAACCATATTTAAGTTTACTCAACTTTGAGAGAATATAAAGGGACACACTTGTCTTACAGTTTAAGATGGTGCATTAGAGATATCTTGATAAATGCAAACAGTCAAGATTGCTCGTCTTTTTACTATTTTAATTCCAATTAAAGAACAAAAGAAGAACAAATATTTTATTTTACTTTTAAATTTAATTCATAGTAAATATAGAGCATAATATCATAAGAAAAAACATGAAACGTATAGAGCAAAATTTTCAGTAGTTATTTT